ATATAAAGCAAGGGGATAAATCCCGAAATAATTTGAATTTTATTTTAAATTATCATTTTTTGGCATATACGTCATACAGGGTGGCTAAAAATATTTCATTTTTGAATTAAATTAGTAGGTATGCACACGAAGTATCATATGTACTTATGTTATTTATTTAAAACAAAATATTTACATTTTACTGTTGTCCAAAAATGTTAAAAAAAAATGTTTAACAACCTTTTGAACATTGTAGATCATTTTTGAAGTAATATTTCGAATTTTCAATCTAGTTCTATTTTTTCAATCTCATAAATTTTGTGGTCGACCGATTCTTTTTCTTTAAGTTCCATCTTCTATCGAAGGTTGGAAATCATCATGGCTATGCGGACTCTGTTGACTGCCGCTCTAAAAAGTTTTGCACTACTGCATTCAAACCATTCCCTTAAGTTCTTAAGCCAGGATATTCTTCGTCTTCCCACATTTCGCTTTCCTCGGATTTTGCTCTGCATAATAAGTTGTAATAATGCGTATTTTTGCCCTCTCATCACATGTCCCAAGTACTCAAGTTTTCGTCTTTTAATAGTTAATATTATTTCCGCCTCATTTCCTATCCTTCTAGTTACTTCCATGTTTGACATTCTTTGAATCCATGATATTCGTAGGATTCTTCTGTAACACCAAAATTCAAAGGCGGCCAGCTTATTCAGATGAACTTGTTTTAGTGTCCAAGCTTCCAGATCATAAAGAAGAGTAGAGAACACGTAACATCGAAGCATTCTCAGGCGTAGTTCTAACCTTATATCCCGACAACAAAGAAACTTTTTAACTTTTTAACTTTAAAGAAACTTTCATATATGACAGACTTTTTTGGTGCCATTCTATCTTTTAGTAGTTTCTTTAATTCTGCATAACTCTTAGAAGACACTGTTGCTGGCTTTGTTAAGTTTTTCAACATTTTATATGCCTCACCTCCAATTAAGGTTACAAAAAGATCCACTTTTTCTTCATCTTCCACCTTATTACACTTGAAAAGGTGATCCATTCTTTCTAGATATGTCTCAATCTCTGTTTTGTCTATTTGGATGGTTTCTATATTCCCAATTAAAGCCATTTTCTTCTTATACTTATACTTTTGACCTCTTGTGGACCCGTTTTATCCTCGTCGCCAATTAATATGTCCGTACTGGAGAATAGTGGATTTATTTAAGACTTTTTAAATAAAAACATGTTTGGATGTAATCCTTTATTTCTGACATTTTTCACAATGACATTTTATCTATCCCTCAACGATACCTAACCTCTAAGCGTGTTCCGTAGCAAACTAAAGAATACAATATGTTCGGAACACAATTACACAATACATCACAGTTTAATAAATGATGTACGTGCTATTTCAATACGTGTCTTAATTTCTTTGGTTTGGTCTACATCTGATGTTATCCATGTTCCTAAATATTTATAGTTATTAACATTCTCAATTGCAGTATCTTCAATAGTCAATTGGATATTTGCATGTGCAGATTTAGTCATGATCATGCATTTAGTTTTCTTTAAATTTATCTTCAGTCCGTACTCATGACAGCGTTCATTAAGGCGTTGCATTAGGTTCTGTAAATCATTGTTGTTATCCGTAATTATTACTGTATCGTCTGCAAAACGTAAGTTATTCAAAACTTCTCCATTGATAGATATACCTTCTATTGAGTCTGAGAGCGCTTCTTGAAATACCGCTTCACTGTAGACATTGAAAAGTAGTGGGGACAGCACGCAACCCTGGCGGACTCCTCTCTGTATTTTGATATTTTCAGTGTACTGGCTGTCAACTCTTACCTTGGCAGTTTGATTCCAATATAAATTAGATATAATTTTCAGATCACGACTGTCAATATTTTTGCTTTTTAATATATCTACAAGCTTTTTATGTTGAACTTTATCAAATGCCTTTTCAAAGTCTACATATAAAGTTTATATTTTAAGGTAACCCCATAGAAAAAAATTAAGTGGTGTAAGATCTGGGGATCTTGGGGTCCACTCTATTGTTTCTCATCTATTATTCATTTGTGGATTTAGTTTAAGTTTTTGGCAACATAAGAGGCTGATCAAAAAAAGAAGAACCCATAATTCTATCCTCTACTATCCCTACCCATAAGTTACCTTTTGATTGTGCTGAGTGTATGCACCAGTTATCCAATAAGAATTTTCTTTACCTAAATATTTGCGAATTTGCCAATTCAATGTTCCATGTAAACAGAAGATTGCTTTATCCGAAAAAAGGATTTGACGAATGAAGAGTGGATTTTAATTATATAAATCTTGCATTACTTTGCAAAACTACATTGGTCGTCATGGATCATCCTCATTGATTATTTACACATAATAAATTTTTTATACGGATGATATTTCTGGTTTTTACTGCATGTAAAACACGCCTTTTGGAAATGTTTACATCAGTTGTAGATATATTTTATAAAGATTTTGCGAAAAGACATTCTTGGGGGAATATTGTGAGAAATGTTTTTGTTTTTCAGTGAGCGAAAATACGAAATAACAATGGCAACTTCTTTTCACTGCAGAACAAGTAGAACCGTTTGTAAATAAAGGCCTGGATGATACCTGTGATGATAATTATTGCCGGTTGAACTATGATTTGATGCAGAAGACAATATTTCACTTATACAGAATATTTTGATAATATCAGAGGAGTATATGAAAAACCTACATATACTCATCTGATATTAATTTAGACTTTATTAATTTAGCCAAAAGAGACACATTTATTGTAGATATACTAACTGCAGTTCAAATAAACATTTGCCAAAAATGTGGCTAGCCTTATGCAAAGAATGTTTTTCTATATATCAGAAACTAAGTTTGAAATAAATGTTTTTCTTTTTTTATAGAATTTTTTCTCTAGTATGCTGATGTTGTAGTAGAAATTATTTTCACCAGTAATTTGTAGATGATGGTAAATGCTTATGTGCCCACTAATAGCATTATTTACCACCTCTTAAAAGAAAAACCTGTACATAATTTCAGTTTTTTTCCTCAGGTAAATAGATTTTTCACAAAGAATATTTGTCTTAAGAAAAAACGAGTTTGGTGATCTAAAGGGTTAAACTCCAAAACAATTTCCTAATATATTCCTAGTATTGAAGATTAAATACTGAGATTTTCGATCAAAATCCATGTACTAGAAAAGTAGAAAGTAACAAAACCTCTTGCATTACTCTTACGCCCTTATATGATTTTTAGGTGTAGTCTCATTTAAAAGTGTCACAAGTTATCAGGAAAACGTACTTTGTATAAAGATTAATACGCGGTGTATCCAGTCAACCAATTTACGATCCATAAAGATGAAAGTAGTCCTACTATGTCAAAATTTTTATGCTCTTTCCTTCACGTTGGACGTCTAGATTAATCTATCTCCCGTTCTTTTATGAGACAGATTCTGATTATATTAAAGTTCAGGGGTAATAAACATTTTAATCGTTTTTTGTTTTTTTGTCACTTTATGAGGATGGAATTTGTTTGATTTTATTCCATATTAACCAATAAAATTTATTGATGGGAAAAGTAATAAAGACTAATAATTTGTGAGATGAGTTTTTAGTAGAGTCGTCAACCCTTTAATATTGATAGAAATTTTTGGATTTATTTTACAGGTTTCTGTGGAAAATGTGATCTTTTACACAGAAATAAAAAAGCTGTTCCTACTAGCTTGCTTGATATTAACTAGGATATAAAATATTTTAAAAACTAACAGAAAAGAAATGCTATATTTAGTGGAATAGTTATACAAAATACTATAAGCAAATAAATTTGCCCTAGCTATAATAGAATTGTTCCTTTTATCCAGTTTGTATAGCTTCCTACGCCTTTCGGTTCCAAGTATCTTTTCTGGCCTGTAATTCCAATATCTAGCCTGAGGATTCCTCTCAAACATTGATCTTCAAACACCTATTAGCCATGTATGTTTTAGTGATCCTTTTTACCTTCTTTTAACTGCTATCTATTTTATTATTTGCTTAACAGGTCAAATATCATCCATAACAAAGGGATGAGTGGCTCTAATCCTGCTCGACGTCAAGAATGCCTTTAATACGGCATCATGGGAAAAAATCATGTCCAGGCTGAGAGAATTGGGCATTGATGAGTACCTGGTCAACGTAATTCATAGATACTTGACTGACAGGTCCATAATAGAAAAAGATACCAGCATTAGTTTGTCGCAGGGTGTTCCGCAGGGTTCCGTACTAGGTCCCATCCTGTGGAATGTCCTGCACGACAGGATATTGAGGCTATAGATGCCAAGGGGATGCACTCTTACACTGTTTGGCATTTATTTTTTTGGTATCATTACAAATGTTAACAGTAGCCAGTCTGTTCGTATATGTCCTGTTTCGTATATTTTATTAAAGAGGATTAGAAGAGAAGGTTTGCCCTTATCGTCGAAAAGTTTGAATATTTCGCTTGGAATTTCATCTGGACCGGTTGCTTTGCTATTCTTTTCCATTTCATCGAGTGTTAAGTTTGGACCACTCAATATTCTGGCCTGCTCCTGCCTGCAGCTCCTCAATATTTCCACCTCTCTAATCTGTCTTGTTCATTGACTATTATATTTCTTTGTTTATCAAGTAAACTGCTTGCAGTTGATTTATTTCACCTTAAGTGAATTGAAGTTATTTCACCTTTTTGTACATGTTAAACGGGTCATTCTTTTTCTGCAGTTATTCTATGTCAAGACATTTGTTGCTGTTCCATTTTTCCTTTGCATCCCGGATTTTCCTTCTGATTTTTTATGAATTTTATTGTATTCTTCAGTTTTTTTATTTTTCTGTTTTCGGAAAGAGCCGTGTTTCAAAAATATTCAAAAACAAAGATTGCAATGGTTTGTTTATGTCAGACATAGAAATAAAAACTATGTGAGACGAAGGTGAAAGAAATGCAAAAAAGAAGACTTGGGACAAACAGGTTAAGGTGAAGATAGATACAAGTTTATAGAAAAAAAAAACGCAAATCTGTTTAATAAAAAAATATAATAAACTAAGTAATAACAAAACCTATGTCCATACAATATCAGCCTTTTTCTCACTCATGGGAACTTGTTCGTACAAACTGGTTTTCACTGGTTCATTATCATATTTAATTTCTACTTTTTCTTTCTTACAACAAAATAAGGAGAAGAGAGCAAAAAAAATGCAGGAACATCCCAGCATTAGAGTTGTGTAGAAGAAGTAGTTACAATATTCGGGAAGACTTTGCAGCATTCTTAAACCAGAGGCTATCTCGTCCGTCATTTCCACTTTGTGCGTGATGTGGAAGACAGGCATGAAGATTTTGGGTAGTTTGTCGTACAAGCTGAAAAAAAAACAGTTTACAAATTAATTATTGACATGCATCGAAACAAATACTGACAGAGCAAAATAATTATTTAGATTATTATAAGATTGGAATTAATACGCGAAGTGTGGATCAAACAAAAAAATACCCAATCAGTGGAAAGAAGCAATCTTATGTCCAGTGCATAAGAAAGGAGACGTTACTGAATGTAAAAATTACAGGGAAATAGCTCTACAAGATACAGTGTATAAGATTCTGGCCATATCAATTAGAAACAAAATTAAAACAAAAGTTGAAAATTGTCTAGGTGAATATCAAGCAGGTTTCAGAGCAAACAGATCGGTAATAGATCAAATTTTTACAATGAAACAAATTTTAGCTAGGTCATATGAATTTAGCCTAACATTACACATGCTGTTTATTGATTTTAGACAGGCGTATGATACTATAAAAAGAAATAAAGTATATGAAGCACTAGAATATTTTGAATTTCCTCCAAAAATACTAACACTGACTAAATGCATACTCAATCATACTAAAAGTAAAGTCATGTTAGAAGGACGGGTTTCGGATAGCTTTATCACTAATAGAGGTCTGCGACAAGGTGACCCGTCATCAACAGATTTTTTCAATTTGATCTTAGAGAAGATTTTACGAGAACGTAACATCTACACTAGAGGCACAATATATCATCACGGGCATCAATGCGTAGCATATGCAGATGAAGTTACATTAATAACCAGGAGACCTGCAGAATTAAGAGAAATCTTTACTGGAATAGAGAGAATATCCAGGGAATATGGTGAAATAAACGAAGAGAAAACAAAATATATGGTGATGAGGGGAAACGAAAATCATCTAGGACAGTCCTTTAAGATACAAAGCCCAAGTAAAGAATATAACTTTGAAGTTGTTAGCCAATTCGATTACTTGGCAGTGACACTAACAAATAGGAACGAAGAGAACCAAGAAATCATAAAAAGAATGGCCAAAGGTAGTAAGAGTGCTGGGAGCCTGACTAATATACTGAGGTCGAAGATAATATCCAGAACAGCACAAAAAACGAATATATACAACAGATATTCGACCTATATATATGGCCTGAAGACTGGACAAAATCTACAATAACGACCATACATAAAAAAGGCAGCTTCCATAAATGCGACAATTTATGCGACCATATATGCGACAACTTATATCCCATGCCAGCAAGATAATGCTACATATAATCAATGAGAGACTGAAAACATTCCTTCAAAGAGAAATTCCACAAGAGCAAACTGGATTTACCAAAGGTAAAGCTACTCGAGAACACCTGCTGAATATAAGACAGATAATCGAGAAATCTAGGGAATTCAACATCCCACTATACATCTGTTTTATAGATTACCGTAAAGCGTTCGACAGGATCAAGTGGAGACACTTATGGCGAATACTAAAAGAAGTAGGCGTACCACAACATCTAATTACGCTTATAACCGAACTATATGAACACACTACTGGATCAGTTAAAGTACTTGACACACTTTCGAACGAATTTCATCCAGAACGGGGTGTCAGACAAGGATGTATACTATCTCCACAATTATTCAACATACATGGGGAGTATAATATGCGAAGAGCACTTGAAGGATGGGAAAAGGGCATCTCAATAAATGGTCATAAACTAAACAACCTACGTTTCGCAGATGACACAGCCCTTCTTGCAAATAGTCAAGCAGAGCTGATGGAACTTATACGACTGATTGAAAACGAAAGTCAAATATTTGGTCTGCAGTTAAATAAATCAAAGACAAAGATCATGATAGTGGATAGACTACACAACAATCATCCACACATAACCACAATTGACCGGTTCGAGGTTGTGAGCTCAAACTTATATCTGGGATCATTAATCACAAACACAGGGTCATTACAAGAGGAGATTAAACGTAGATGTGATCTAGCAAAAGTTGCCACAACAAAAGTGACCAAAATATGGAAGGACTGTCAAATTTCAAGAGCGATAAAGATGAGGTTGATCAACTGCTTAATATTCCCAATACTGACCTACGGATGTGAATCTTGGACTCTGAGACAATCGGAGAGAAGAAAGATAGACGCCACTGAAATGTTCTGTTGGAGACGAATGTTACGAATTCCTTGGACCGACCGCAGAACAAATAATTCAATTTTAAGAGAGCTAAAAGTTAGCCAACGACTCTCTAGTAAAGTCTATTTCTAACAATTAAAATATTTTGGGCATGTTATGAGAGCAAACACAGAAAACATTTAAAGACTCATAATACAAGGAAACGTAGAAGGCCGAAGATCACGAGGAAGATCCCCAACAAGATGGATAGATCAAATTACAGGAATATGCCAAAGACCTATGCATGAATTAAAAGAAATGACCAGAGACAGAGATCTCTGGAGACGGACAATACACGACATCACGTCGACCACTACACTCCCCCTGGGGAGTCAGGATTGAAGACAGAGATCCTACCTATAGTACTCTATGCTCTATGCTATAATACTCTATGGAAGTAAAATTAGATAGATGGGACGAAAAATTCTTAGAAGAATATACGTAGGTGTAAAAAGGGGAACATCTGGCGAAGAAGAACGAACGAAGAAATAATGCAAATATATGGGCAACCAAAATAACAAGACTCGTTAAAATTCAAAGACTAAGATGACTCGGACATATAGCAAGAACGGAGGAAGGAAGAGTTCCCAATGAATTAATAAACACGGAGGCTGGTACAAAAAGAAAAAAAACCGCCTCCTAAGAAAATGGCCTGAAAAAGAAGACTCTATAAAAATAAGATATTCGTATTGAGATTCCGCTGATGCGCCCATTCTGCTGATATCTTTCAAAACAATAGCCAAAGGTAAGACTTATAAAGTGGTTATTTTTAACTTGTAATACTATTGTTACTACATTTTAGGCAGATCAAGAAATACAACGCAAGAGGACAAAATTCTATATCTATCGCCTTTAAGTATCTCAGATAAAAAATATGATGATCTTAAAAAGCTCTGCGAAAATCGTGTAATTGCCGAAAGATTCTGGAATGAGTATAAAACTTTAAAAGCAAGAACAGATGTACAAGATGCCTTAGCAAAAACAGACGAAGAATAGTAGTCTATAAAATAAAATTTCTGAATTTTTGGTTTTGTTTATTATTGAATAACTATTGAGGTAACTTATATTAACAATATACTTTATTGTCGCTTACGATGTTCTGTCAAAAAGATCGTAAGCGACAAAACAAAATAAATACAATTAATTGTCCATTTTTTCAATTTTGACCTTTAAAACAATTCTTAGAAATGTTAAAACATACCGTAAAATTTTATTAATTTTAGTTTGAAAGAAACTGGTTATTCTAAACAATCGATTCCTGTAAAATTTGCGTCTTGTCGCTTACGATGTTCTGTTAAAAATCCGTCGATATGAGGGTGAATTTTGTGCATTAGAAATTATAGATATTGAAACTCTTGTAGTAACAGTATATAGAACCGGAAATAGAAATTTTAAAGTTTTTCTAGATCTATTTGAAAAGTTATTGATGTTTTTCTCGGGTAATTTTTTAGAAATAATAGCAATTAGAGATTTCAACATTAATTTTAAAAAAGCTTCTAATTAACTAAATAGTTTCCGTTATCTAATTTCTACTTTTGGCTTAACCATAAATATGAATGAATTTACTAGAATCACAACCAGATCAACAACTTGTTTAGATATCATCTTAACAAACATAAGCAGTGGGATATTTGATTGTGGAATTGTGGACTTATGTATTTCTGATCATCTTGCTCAATTTCTCTAATTAAAAAATGAAATCTAAAAAAGTCATAGTGCTAATACATACAGAAGACATATATGACAAGTAATGGCATCCTGGTGTTGAAACAGTCGTTAAATAACGTTGACTAAGTTTCAGTTGTTTCTCTTAAGACCGCAACAAAATTGTTAGCTCAATTTGTTACCGAAATGTATGTAAAAGTTAACTGAAATTTATTTTCCTATAAAAAATCACGAACTCATGATAAAGCACCAATTTCCTGGGTTGATGATGAACTGATAAACTTTTTTAGAATACAGCTTTATTTAGTATCTGCGCAGAATTACCCCGTTCATGGGAGAATACCGCGCAATGATAGTTGTTTAAAGTAGTATTTTTTCTTCAAAAACCGTAAAAACCTTTTTTATGGGAATAACATTACCAATAAATACAAGTTTCAGCAATTACATTATGGAAGATTGTGTGCAGATAGGAAACTTTTTGTAAGTATTTTCCCTTACAAAGTATAAGAGAAATGCCTTGATAATTATGCTAAAACTTTTAATACATCTTCAGCATATTAAAACCATACTTTATTCTTTCCACTTATTGTACTAAATAATCATTCATTTTTAGATCTTGTATAATATTATTTATATATCTAGAAATGCTTTCTGTTTTCCAAAATTCCTTTTGATTAAGACTATATTTTCTTTATACAAATTTTCATTTTAACTCCACCAGCATTTCTGTCGCGAGGATCAAGTAGGTAACTTACTGTTTTCGATCCCAAGCGCGGATGAAAAAGGAGGGAGTGCTGTAAATATTTTTCTCATAGAGACAGGGTTATGCTACGGAACAGGACGGACTCAATAAAATAAAAACATTAGTACATTGTTTACCGGGTAGGAAAAACTTAACATTCCTGGACGACTGTGAAGATTGCTAAGTCGAGGCGCAAGCCGAGACTTAGCAACACAGAGTCCAGGAATGTGGCTTTTCCTACGAGGTAAACATACTATTTTTCGGCAAATCGTTTAAAATTCGACAGATATTGATTGATTTAAAAAAAACGCGATAATTTTATTCCCAAATAAATGGTGCTTTGAAATTCCTAATAAAATTACTTGGGTTACTATGGAAACGTATTGAGGTTGAATTGTCAAACTTGACGCTTATAAATTTAATTGCTGGTGTTCTCGAAAGTAAAATGATAAGTGATGATGAAATTTCCATTCCTGGGACTCCTCCAGAGCTGGTTGAGGCAGTGAATACTGCTTCATTAGAATTATTGCCAAAGAAATCAAGAGAAAAGTACGAAAATGTATACAGACGTTTTATGGATTATCGCATGAGTAAAAATACGAGTTCTTTCTCAGAAAGTGTTGTAATGGCATACTTCCTAGACCTTTGTTTAAAGATGAAATCTTCAACATTATGGGCCAATTATTCAGCTTAATTCGAAGGAAGAAATTGAAAAATTTATCCAGGAAGCTCCAGATAAAGAAAATTTAATGATTAAGGTAATTTACAAGGTTTTAATTTCTATTTAGATTATAGCTTTATTTATTTTTTAGGTGGCTGTAATATTTGGTATTTCTGGGGCCTGTAGAATGGATGAGTTAGTCCGAATGACTGTACACGATATAGAAGACTTAGAATCTAAGCTTTTAATCAGCATACCTGATTCGAAAACCAACAAACCAAGATCATTTGTAATTAATCAGATCTACTTGAATGTTTATCGAAAGTATGTTTCGTCAAGACCAGAAAATATGAACAGTGACCGATTTTTCTTTAAATATCAAAGCGGAAAGGGTTGTAGACAAGTGGTAGAAATTCATCAATTTAGAAAAATGCCCAAAATAATTGCTACTTATTTGAACTTGATAAATCCGATAGAATATACTGGTCACTGCTTTCGTCGGTCTTCTGCAACAATATTGGTTGACTCTGGTGCCGACATAACTAGTTTAAAGAGGCATGGCGGATGGAAGTCATCAAACGTTGCTGAAGGATATATCGAAGAATCGCTTAACAATAAGGTTGAGGTGGCAAATAAAATTTTCACAGTACAAAATATTCAACAAAATGACACTTCCACCCTGCATGTTGTCCAAAATGTTTCTCATAGTTCTAAGAGTGTTTCTCCAATGTTCAATAATTGTACTAACTGTCAAATTACTGTAAATATAACAAATTTATCTTAAAAATGTATTCAGCAATGACTTGATGTTTTCAAAATATAAATTAATTCCTTATAAGCAATGTGTTTTCTATCATTTATGTAGAACACTAACAACTGTACGGAAATATCATTTCCTTACAGTAAGGAAGTCCTGACTTTTTCTTCAAGAAATTTTAACAGGAATGTCAAAATTTCCTGGCGATTTGCGGAAAAAAATATTTTTCGAATTGGTATGTGGAACGTGAAATCACTAGTCACAAGGGAATAAGAAATAACTAAAGAATTTAAAGAGGAGAATATTGACATCTTTGCACTTTAAGAGACAAATAAAAAAGGAAAATGTCAAATTATGTTAATAACTACTTAATATTTTACAGTGGTGCTGCAAAAGAAACCACAACCAAAGAAGAAATCGCTCTATTAATACACCAGAGACTTGCAAACTAAGTGACTGTAATGATCTAAAAAATGACTAGTTTGCGTAAAAATTAAACTAGATGCAAAGGTATTAAATAAAAAACAATAAAGTGAAGCTGAGTAAAAAGTCCTTTTTATTTAGTGATTGTAATAACGTACAACAAAAAATTGGTACTTACCTTATACTAGAAACACGCTGTATAAGCATATTCAATTGCATTCCAGCTTGTACTTCCATCACAACGCCTGATTTCTAAAACACACAAAAATATTTGGTTAAATTACTGCAAACTGTAAGTAATAGCAATAATTAGAATGACCACAAAAGAACTGCAAAAAGAACTGTAAACTGTCAAAAATTTGGTACCTCAAACCAGTGTGTTGCGTCAATTTTTAAATATACAAATCTTAGAAGTAGGTTTTTGTGTTCTGCTTTTTGCTTCCCATTGATTCCCATTGTGTAGCATGCAGATAGCATGCAGATGATTCAGAAAGGCTGACACAGATAAATGCCTATACTGCTGACACTCGGACACTGTGAAACATACCTACCATGTTAGAGTGCAACAGATGGATAATAGAAAGGAACAGAATGGAAAGAGAGACAGGTGTGAATTTTGTTACAGTTAAGAAATGATTGAGAGAATTATTGAATATAAAGCAGGTTGGACTAGTATATACAACTATATCCGTACAATTATCAAAAAAAATAAGAAGAAGAAAGACAGCTGGACCAACGGCAAAGATAAGAGGAAAAGATGCTGGAAGTTATAAGTAGAAAAGTGGATTAGACTGTATGACATAAACTGTTTGAGTCAGACTGTGGGGAAGGAAGAAATGCCCGTCTGGGATTGATATCGAGTGAAACTAGATGGGGATCCTCCTTGCTGACAGTTTGTGAATGGATGAAGATAGTGCTTTAGAAGTGATGCCGGTCTTACAGCGGCCATTCCGTTTCCGGATCGTTGGATGAGACAGGAGGGTTTGGTGTAGCAGCTAGGCGTTGGGCGTTGATTTGGCGACCAGAGGGAATTTAAAAATACCTCGGAAACTATCGCCGGGAGTACAAAGAACGAATCCTGCACTGTCAGTCAGACGGCCTCCTGGACTGAGGTGTCTTTTGAAGATTCCAGAGCCCCCTCTATACATACAAAAAAAAGCTTGGTTCGTGGAAGATTATATGTAGATGATCTGGTGTTAATCTTCAGGGAAAACTATCTTTTTAGTTCAACGTCACTTACAAATCGCACTTCACGAACTCGAAAACTGGTCAAAGAATACACGATTTCAGTTTTCACTCAACAAATCAAAGTGTTTGTGATTTTCAAAGAAACGTGATCTGATTAAACCATAGCAAAAATTATGTTTTCAAATCGTGAATTAAGCTGATGACATTAGGTTTGTAGAAATAGTTTATAATATGAATCTTACATGGAAAAAACATATATTACAAATTAAAAATGAAATCAATGTTAAAAAAAATCTTTCTAATAAAAACTATGGAGCGGACTATTACTGCCTAATTCATGTTTATAAAACATTGCAGTTATTCAAACTACGGCATTAAGATAATCACAGGAGCATTCTGGACCAGCCCAATACAAAGTTTACGAGCAGAAACTAAATAGTACCGCTTAAATATAGAAGGATGCACTTATCTCTTACATATACATTTTCCGCTAATTCTAATCTGAACAGAAATAGTATGTTCACTGATCGGTTTAAAAACTTATATAATACTGAAAATATGAAGGTGCGCTTTTATGAAGGTGAGCTATATCATCATCAGTGGTGCTACAGCTCTAGTTGAGCCTTGACCTTCCCCAGTCTATTTCGCCAGTCGTTTCTGTTCATCGCCAACCGTTGCCAATTTGCCGCGCCGATCTTCCTTGCGTCCTCGTCCACACCGTCCCTCCATCTCAGTCGTGGTCTGCCTCTACTCCTATTTCCCACTGGGACCGATAATAGAGTTCGTCTGGGTGGGTAATTTTCATTTGCTCTTGACACATGTCCAGCCCATCTAAGCCTACCTATTTTTATGAAGGATATTACATCTCTACCATTTACTATTTTTTTATACTTCTCGTACAATTCGAAATTATATCGCCTTCTCCAAATACCATTCTCACAGAATGCGCCCATTATTCTTCTTAGTATCTTCCTTTCGAAGACGAGCAGAAGATTTGCGTCTGTTTTGGAGATGGTCCATGTTTCTGACCCATATGTCAGCACTGGTAGGATGAGTGTTCGATATATTATTAGTTTGGTTTTCTGGCTTAAATTTCTGTTTTTTAGCTGCTTGCTTAGTCCAAAATAACATTTGTTTGCTAGCAGTACCCTCCGTTTAACTTCTTCAGATGTGTCATTATCGTTTGTTATGAGAGAACCCAAATATGTAAACTTATTTACTACTTCAAAATTATATTGGTCTATACCGAAGTTTTGTTCGGCGTTTCTAGCTCTATCTCTGTTATTTGGAATAGATGCTAACATTTTGGTTTTTTCCTCGTTTATTTTAAGGCCCATATTTTGTGCGGCTGTCAAGAAGGCGGAAGTCATCTCTTTAAGTCCTCGTGTAGTACGTGCAATCAAATCCAGATCGTCAGCGTAAGCCATAATCTGCGTTGATTTATTAAAGATTGTTCCCCTATTGTGTAACTCGGCATCTCTTATAGTCTTTTCTAACGCTATATTAAAGAGAAGGCACGCCAGCGCGTCTCCCTGCCGTAACCCTGCATATGTTTCAAACGCTTGTGACATATCGCCTTGTATTTGCACTCTGCAGATCACTTTACTCATAGTTGTTTTTACGAGCCTTATTAATTTATGGGGAATGTTAAGTTCATTCATGGCTTCGTATAATTTACCTCTTAGGACGCTATCATACGCTGACTTAAAGTCCACAAAGAGATGGAACGTGTCAATATTAAATTCATTGGTTTTTTCTAAGATTTGACGTAGCACAAAAATCTGGTCGATTGTTGACCTACCTGGCCTAAAACCGCTTTGATACTCACCAAGGATTTCTTCCACGTACGTACTTAAACGGCTGTATAGGGTATTGGAGAATATTTTGTACATTGTATTCAGAAGAGTTATACCCCTATAATTTTTACACTCCAACAAATCTCCCTTTTTGTGTAGTGGACATATGATTCCAGTGCACCATTCCTCTGGCATTTGTTCTTCTTTTCAGACTTTGACTATTATGTTGTGAATTTGGTGCATAATGCTGTTACCTCCATGTTTGATGAGCTCTGCGGGGATACAATCCACTCCTGGGGACTTGCTATTTTTGAGTCGTGTGATTGCGTCTTTCACTTCAAATGTTGAAGAAGGTTCTACGTGAGTGTTATTTCTTGGTCTTTGGGGTGACGCATCATTTTCCACTTCGGTACCAAGTAGTTCTTTGAAGTGCTCAACCCATCTGCTTTGTACTGCGTCAGCGGTACTGACTATATGTCCATTTTTGTCTCTACACATCGTCAGCCGTGGTTTAAATTCTTTTCTTGTCTTGAAGGTTAGCTATATATATATTCAATATTCATGCACCATCAGAAGACAAGGACGACAAAATAAAAGATCTGTACTATGAACAGGTAAATGATGAATACGAGCGCCTACCTAAACGTGATGTAAAAATAATAATAGGTGATTGTAATGCTAAAGTGGGAAAAGAACCTCTGTACACTGCAGTAGCTGGTAACTACAGTAAACACGAAGTACCAAACGATAATGGTCAAAGACTTATTGGATTTGCCATGGAGAAAAACATGGTGGTGAGAAGCACACATATAAAACGAAAAGAGATATACAAAGGTACGTGGGTCTCCCCAGATGGAAGGACGGTGAATCAAATAGATCATGTTATGATTAAAAGTAAATATATGAATATCGTTCAGAAGGTAAGAAGTATGAGAGGAGCTGATATCGACCCGGACTATTACCTCGTTAAAGTCACATGTGGGAGGAGGCTGGACGAAAAAGAGAACTCGAACGATAAAACGAAGAGAAAGTACAATATTGAAAAACTTAAGGAAGTAGAAATAAAAAATAAATATAAAGAAGAAATAAATAAAATTCTACAACAATGTGACCAAAATTTACAGACAGATCAAGCCTAGGAACAAATTAAATCTGCCGTAGGAGAAGTTAGCGAAAAAATAGTTAAGTGCGACTCCAAGAGAAGTACAAACAAAGATTTGTTTGACGAAGAGTGTCAGGCGATAGTAAAGGAAAAGAAGAAGATCAGACAACAAATAATAACAGATAATAGAGAGTGTAAAAAACAAGAATATAGAATAATTCAAGGAAGATTAAAAACTCTGTGTAGAAGAAAAAAGAGATACCACAATGAGTTGAAATTAAAAAAGATAGAAGAGAAGTTTAAAAACAAAGAGGTGAGGTCGTTCTATCAAGAAGTTGAAAAGATGGGAAAAGGTTACCAAAGCCACTGCAGTTATATGAAAGATAAAGACGGAAATTTTTTTAGCGATCAGGCAGAAATAATGACTGAATGGAAAAAACATTTTGAAGAATTATTAAATGGTGAGGAAGACCACAAAGCAGTAGACAACTGGACGATTGGAGAAAATGCGACAGTTGAAAGGCAGCCTACAGAGCAGGAGGCGATGACAGCCATACAAGAAATGAAAAATAATAGAAGTCCTGGTAAAAATGACATATGCATAGAAATGATCCAGTTTGGTGGAAAACAACTACAAAGAAAAATATATCAGCTACTATGCAAGTATGGGAAAAGAAAATATTGCCATCGGAGTGGTATGAGATCCGCATATGCCTTCTGCATAAAAGAGGATACAAACTAAAGTGTGACAACTATACAGGTATAGCCTTACTAGACACGGTATACAAAATCTTGGCAAGAATATTGAGAAATAAAATAAATTGCTACACACGGAAAGAATCCTGCATGAATATCAGGCCGGCTTTAGAAAGGACAGATCTACTGTAGATTCGGACAAATCTTCTCATTAAAGGAGATACAAACGACTTGTTATGAAAGTAAAGTTCCCCTGCATGTTTTGTTTGTGGATTTTAGACAAGAATATGATAGAGTGGATAGAGTCAAATGTATCGAGCAATTGAACATTTGGGTATACCAAGAAAACTAATCCGGCTAATTAAAATGACACTAAATAACTCTACGTGTGAAATTGTCTGGCAGGGTCACATATCAGATCAATTTACGGTTGCAAAAGGCTTGAGACAGGAAGATCCTTCATTTACTACCTTATTCAACTTAGTGTTAGAAACATCGAAGAAGCACAAAAATTCGGATTGGAACTAAATGAAGACAAAATTAAATATATGATCATGGGAGGAACCGAAGGGAAAAAAAGAAGGCTTTAGTGTGAGGTCTGTAAGTGGTAAAAGCTATAGTTTTAAAAGGGTGGACAAATTTGAATACCTGGGTGTAGGTTTCCATGAATAAATATGGGAAAATATAAATATAATATAAATACATAAATAAATATTTCCATGAAAAAAAAATAAATTTCCGGGAATAAAAAATAAGGTAGTTTAAGAGCCCTACTAAACTCAAAATACGTATTTAGACAAGGTAACCTCAGAATATATAAAACAGTAATTCGACCAACAGTAACATATGCCGGTGCGACATGGACATTAAATAATAAGGATACTCTGGAAAAATGGGAAAGAAAAATATTGAGACGCACATTCGGAGGACGGAAGACAGAAGATGGTTGGGAGAGAAGAACCAACAATGAATTAATGGCTTTATACAAAGAACCTACCATTACCAAGTTCGTCAAGGCACAAAGAATCAAATGGTTGGGACATGTGGAAAGAATGGCATCAAACAGAACGAGGTGGATTAGTAAAGTAGAGGAAGACCATAAACACGTGAAGATGAAGTACTGGAAAGGAAAAGTACAAAATAGAAACGAATTGAGAATTTAAGTTAAAGTTTTATTTAAAATAATTGTAATTAGTTAATATTAGGATTATGTAAAAAAATGCTTACTATAAAAATGCTTATATGTATACTGAAAATAGAAACGTGAAACCACCATTCTACGAAGGAGTTTGGCAAACTCTCATGCCTTTATAAATTTCGATACCTCACCGGAAAAGTATTCCTCAATCTGACACATCCTTAAATATGTTTTGTAAGTAAAACAATTAAATATTTGGAGAAACAGCAGATGTCATTAGTTGAATCATGGACGTATAAACACAGATGGACTCAGTTATTTACATAAAATTGTGAAGTCAAAATTATTTGAATAGGTCACATTCTGAGCACCTTCAACTGTTGTCACGTTTTGTTTTAAAATGTCTTATTCGCGAGTCGCTGAAAATATTACTCCGTATTTTATACTCTACAGGTGCTATTAAACCAAAATAATAATTTAATGGTTATATTAATATATTTAATTGTAATCAAAATATCAAGTGTGCACATAGTGTGCATTATCATTTAATAATAGCGTATAATAGATATCAATCAATTATTTTATATGTAGAAGCACTGAAAACTATTTATAAATGGCAACGGTTGTTTACATTTCTCTGTCTTATGGATCTACGTCAAACTTCAAATGTTGTTCCATGTTTGTTTAATTTTTACAGTAAATGAGGAAAAGGTTATTTTTCGATATTTTGGCTGTATTTTGAGTGATATTTGTGAAAAGAGAAATAAAATAAACGAAATATTTACAATCCGATCTCTCATTTCATTTGTAAGTACATACAATTTACATTATTTAAGATGAGGAAATGAGGAAGCGTGTTTGTTTACATTTTAATAGGCGTACCATTGGGTTTATTCATGTTCATTAATGTATTGAATAAGATATGAGTTCATGAAATTGGTAGACATTTATAAATTGTAAGTAGACATCATCTGATTAAAAAAGATCTGTTTAGTACCTTTTTAATTTAATATTTCTCATGGATACAATTAAATTAGTGAAATGAATAAAACTCATTTATTTTTCTATGTAGGTTTCCAAATAATATTGACGATCGAACTATTTGGGTAGCAAATTAAGGAGAAAACATAAAGATTTTTTATTGTAGATTATTAATTTTGATACTATTAAAAAATTAACTTGAATTCAACTATATTTAATTGTATTAATTTTAAAGAAAATAAAATTGTATTTTAATTTTTCTATAAAGACGTGATTTGTTAATAGTTAAACTCTCGTTTTTTTTTTAATTCTTTGAACGTGTTTTTATACATTATTACTACTTCCAATTTTTAATATCTGAATAATTACCCGCGAGTAAAAATTCAAGCACGCTTATGCTCATTGCGGAAGCATCACATTCTATCGAAGCTTCAAAACATTGTGTGTTAAAGGTATCTTATTGCTGTGTCCATCTATGTTTATACGTCCATAAGTTGAATCAATCCAAAAAATCCACAGTCTTGGAAAAAAATGAAAGAAATCTCTGGAAAACTTGGTCAGATGTTCAAAACAAAGATGAAAAACAAATGATTTCTTCTTCATAGCTGTCCAGTGTTAAAAATATTTGTTGAAATATTTTTGCAATGTGAAATTTCTTACCGCCCCTTTCAAAAAAGCTGGCGATGTATGTAATACTTATTAAAGAAACTTCATTCGTTTTTAAAACACGTTCCTCCTGACTGGCGGGCTACTTAAAAACCATTTAAGACCGTTTAATCCACTTACCGGCTCAAGAATCATGTAAAATTCATGCAGGGTTTTATTGGGCTTCATCCCCTTCACGGCGTTCTGGTAAACGAGATCAGCGTTGTAGAAATGCGGGAACGACAGAAAGCTCGGTGAACCTTGCCGGCAGCTGGATATGTTAAACACTCCTGTCGGGATGCATTCACCGTTGCAGAAACACGCGTTCTCTGGATGGACGGTTCCTACAAATTGGACATAGTTTATTAAAAAATACTACTTATTTCAAAAATTACAAAAATTGATGATTTTTTTAAGAAAAACACTTTTTACAGTAGAAAAAAAAAACATTTGTAGCAGAATCTGTAGTATTTTTTACCGCCTACAACGACGTTTATTATTTACCATGAAGATAATTTTCTGATTACCGTGTACATGATTTACTCCGAAGTCGTAGCCTCTCGGACACCAAAGTTATTCTCAGATAATAAATTAGATTAATTAGTTTACCATTCAATCATCGATGCTTCTCTGTTCTGGAAAACAATTCCCAATGCTATCATGTATTAAGTTTGGAGTTTATTATAGCTTAAACACTTTCGTCGTTTAAGTTTACGGGACTTACTTTCGCTGATAACGTTATGTCTCTCGCACCGACTGATTCAAATTTTCGCACCTGATTAAAATGTTAGCTTTGGAAAGACATAAACAGTACTATAATCTAAATATTGTTCTGAAGCTATTTTCTTGTGGCATTGTAAATTAATTACTATTAAACTGGGAATAAGCCACAATTAAAGATAAAAATACGTTTATTGACGTTTAAATTTCCACTTCGGAAATCGTTCTCAAAATACAAACAGTAAATTAAACAAATTTTGTTTTTTGTTACATAATGAAAAATTCTTCTAATAATTTAATTTTATCTGACTCATTTATATTGACAATTCAGACATACATTATGCATTTTAAAGTAGACGACTTTAAAATGATATTGGCAATATTGTTGAGTTGCGCTCCTGGGACGACTTTACTTATAAGATAGTTCATTCGATTACATGAAATCAACTTTAACTTGAGAATATCCGTCAGAAAAAAATCATAGCATGTAATTCGTCTTTAAAAAGACAAACACATGACATGATGACAGTAAAATTCTCCTGTTAGTGATTCCATAGTAAATTATGAGGGAAAACCAGGAAAAAAAAACCTCATAATACTATCCCGACATTGTAAGTATTTGTTCGTGAATTTAGTTTACCCTCAACAAACATCAAAATTCTGATTTTATATGTTACGTTATTTAAAAAACATAAATGATGCATCCTCTATATGTTACTGACTTACTAATACTGGTATTTTTTTTATTAATAACTTCCTCTTTCAATATTGGTAACCAGATCCTACTACATTCTGCCGAGGAATTTGCGACACAATTGGCCTCATTTAGCATAATTAGAGCCGCTTCTTTGATTTTTCTTTTTTTACCATCCGTTTCTTTTAGGACTACATTTGAATTATTCCATTGTACCCTATGTTCATTATCCCATGCGTGTTTACAGATTTGAGATCTATCAAATTCTTTATTTTTAATATAAGTTTGATGTTCACTTATTCTAACATTTAATGGCCTTGATGATTCACCTAAATAAAACTGATCGCATTCACAAGGTATTTTATAAATGCAATTCTTTGTCCTTTCTTGTTCATTGTTAGGTTTGGTTTTGGACAAAATAGATCTCAACGTGTTTTTGAAACAAATATCATTTCAAAACAAAATTTCAAACCCACAGTATGGTGGAGGTATGTAGATGATGTATTCTCAATATGGTTTATGGATCAGAGTTGTTGGACACATTCCTAAGTGATATAAACGATAAAGAAGAGACAATAACATTTACCATGGAAAGGGAATATAATAACACGCTACCTTTCCTGGATGTTTTAATCTCTAAGAACGATACTGGATATGAGACTCAGGTTTATAGAAAACCAACACACACCAATAGATATTTAAATTTCAAATCAAATCACAGTATTAATGTAAAAAAGGGAATAATCAAATCCTTATACGATATAGCCAAAATTACTTGTTCTAATGAAAATTCGTTCTTGGAGGAGAAACATTTGTTAACATCTGTTTTATTAAAAAATGATTATCCTTTATCGTTTATAAATAAGGAATTTTCAACAATCGATCGAATAGAACAAAACAACTTAGAACGAGATCCTACAGCATACACAAGGAATAATATGAGGAAAATAACAATACCGTATATAAAAGGACTATCAGAAAAACTTAAAAGGATAGGAAATAAATTCAACATTTCAACAACATTCAAAACAACAAACACGTTGAGATCTATTTTGTCCAAAACCAAACCTAACAATGAACAAGAAAGGACAAAGAATTGCATTTATAAAATACCTTGTGAATGCGATCAGTTTTATTTAGGTGAATCATCAAGGCCATTAAATGTTAGAATAAGTGAACATCAATCTTATATTAAAAATAAAGAATTTGATAGATCTGCTGAAATCTGTAAACACGCATGGAATAATGAACATAGGGTACAATGGAATAATTCAAATGTAGTCCTAAAAGAAACGGATGGTAAAAAAAGAAAAATCAAAGAGGCGGCTCTAATTATGCTAAATGAGGCCAATTGTGTCGCAAATTCCTCGGCAGAATGTAGTAGGATCTGGTTACCAATATTGAAAGAGGAAGTTATTAATAAAAAAATACCAGTATTAGTAAGTCAGTAACATATAGAGGATGCATCATTTATGTTTTTTAAATAACGTAACATATAAAATCAGAATTTTGATGTTTGTTGAGGGTAAACTAAATTCACGAACAAATAGTTACAATGTCGGGATAGTATTATGAGGTTTTTTTTTCCTGGTTTTCCCTCATAATTTACTATGGAATCACTAACAGGAGAATTTTACTGTCATCATGTCATGTGTTTGTCTTTTTAAAGACGAATTACATGCTATGATTTTTTTCTGACGGATATTCTCAAGTTAAAGTTGATTTCATGTAATCGAATGAACTATCTTATAAGTAAAGTCGTCCCAGGAGCGCAACTCAACAATATTGGCAATATCATTTTAAAGTCGTCTACTTTAAAATGCATAATGTATGTCTGAATTGTCAATATAAATGAGTCAGATAAAATTAAATTATTAGAAGAATTTTTTCACTATGTAACAAAAAACAAAATTTGTTTAATTTACTGTTTGTATTTTGAGAACGATTTCCGAAGTGGAAATTGAAACGTCAATAAACGTATTTTTATCTTTAATTGTGGCTTATTCCCAGTTTAACAGTAATTAATTTATAATCTAAATAATATAGCATTACTAATGCATTTAATGGAAAATCTGCATAAGCAAGAGCTACAAAAGAGAAGGAAAAATGCCATTTTTTTATTTGAAAAGGATGAAGAATATTCACAACTTACCATTATCAAAACCATATTCGGCTGAGTATTTATATCCATGCACTCCCTTAATGGTAACATCTTCAACGTATTCTAGCACCAGAGATTTACAAAGATCTGACGAGAACATAACTATTTGGTCCCTTTTTCGGTTAAGTGGAAAGAACTCTCCCCCTGATCCCTTTACAGCATTACATTCACCACTAAAAAAATTAGTTTCTTTTTTTCCATCCCAGAGCAGTACTTCCCCGAAATGTTCGTCGTTTTTGTAGTGCACTGAGTATGTACCGTCCAAGCCTATGGTGCCGTTTCTCTAAAAATAAAAAAATAATAATATAAATAAACAGTTAAACTGTAAAATGAAATAGTGGTTTTTGTTAACCATTTAAATAAAGACTTTTTTATTTGAGCAATTGTATTAACCAGATGATTATTACCGACAAATTACTATTATTACGAGATCGCCAGCATGTAATTGATCTTTGAGTGAGGGTTTTTGTTAAAACACTGTGTTAGCCAACTTAATTTTTTTTGTCCTAAATGGTCCACACTTCTCCAGCGCAATAATTAAGTCCAACTGCTTTACGTTTCTATATTTTTTAAACATAAATAGCCTGATCTGAGTATTATTGACTGATGTTGGTTGAAGTAGTATCCGAATGTTTTACAGGTGTGGAATGTTCGTCAATACGGTTGTGTATTCGTCGGTTTGTCTAGTCTATGTATGTTCGTGGGCAACTTAAACAAGGTATCTCGTAAACACCCTTGTCTTCATTGGGGATTTAGTATTTTACGGATCTGACGAGATTTTACAACTTCGAGTGAGAAGTGAAGATGGTTTTGATGTTTAGAAGGTTAAGAGTTCTACTGATCTTCACAGTCACAACTTTGATAAAAGGTAGAAAGATTTTGGGTTGATCGGATGGCAAGGTTTCTTTTTTGGATGCAATGTGGTTTAGATGTTTTTAAATGCTCTTATTAATTTGGGTTTTGTATTAGCCGTATTGTAAGAGTATTTGCCTTATTAAATTGATTTCGAATAATCTGTGATTGCCATCGCTATGAAACAAGAAACACGAGTATTGATAACTGAATTGAATTGAGCGGGCTGATGGTGTGATTGGACATTGAGATAACGGTTTGTATGGGTGGGTTTTTGGTACATGGAATAGGAAAACCTGTGAGGTGGGTTTCTAAATAAGAACATCAAGGAATGGCAAAGATGCTTCAGACTCAACTTTCATCGTGAATTTGAATAATGGGATATATTGAATTTAGCTAGGAGAGAAAGAGATCTAATGTGTCTTTACCATGGGGCTAAATGACAAAGGTGTCATCAATGTACCATAGCCAGCAGTTAGGTTTAAGATTTGATGAAGAAAGGGCTGTTGTTTCGAAATATTCTATGTAGATATCAGCTATTACGGGAGAGAGGGGAGATTCTATTGGAGCAGCTTTGATTTGACGATAGAAACGATTTTGCAATGAAAACTATGTATTAGACATACGCTTCAATCAAATTCAAATCAATCGCTTTAACTTATTTCTTTTTGGTGTCGTCCATCCCTTGGTTGTATTGCATTGCCTTTATTTTGGAATAGTTTTTTGTTAGTAAAATTGACATGAAAAGATTTTGTTTCATTCAATTTGATACATGTAGCATGGTTGCTACATCCTCTAGTTTTGTCCGACTGCTAGAATGCATGTGCCGTTTGCAAATATCGTAATTGTGTTAGGTTCTAATGATGGAATATCGCTGGTATAGAGCAAGTATAGCACTGGCCCCAGTACACTTCCTTGTGAAACTCAAGCTTTAACTTTTCTTAATTCTGAATATGCTTCCTCATATTTAACTCGACAGTATCTGTAGGATATATGTGACTCTAGTAATTCAGAATATTGTTTTGTTAAGTAGCATCTTATTTTATGCTATAATCCGTCATGCCACACCTTGTCAAAAGCCTGCGCTACATCGAGGAAAATTGCGGAACAGACTTTTTCTTCTTCTAGAGCTTTTTCTACTATATCTGTTATTCTATGCGTCTGATGTATCGTTGAGTGACTTGCTCTAAATCCAAACTGATGCTTAGGAATTGGATTTTTTCCTCTATAGTCGGTTTTAGTTTCTTCAAGAGTAATTTTTCTTATAATTTAGACATGACAGGTAACAGTGAAATAGGCCTATATGAAGAATCTTCTTGTGGAGGTTTTCCTGGCTTTAGTGTTATTATAATTTCTGCCACCTTCTATATCTTTGGTACGTACCTTAGCCTAAAGGAAGCGTTTATAAGATGTGTTAATTTTATTATAGCTTTCCTTGGAAGTTGCTTTAACACTTCCCCAGTACTTAGATCAAATCCAGGAGCTTTCTTTGGATTTATATACTCTTTTTATTTCCAGAATTCTCTTATAAGGATTTTTTAGTGAAACATGATTGAAACCAATTTCATCTCCATTCGAACGATTTATATTTTTAATAAAATTTATGTATTTCTTTTTCATCAGAACATGATTAATCTGGTTGACAGTACTTCCACGTTCTCTTATATAATTTATTACTTTCTACCGGTGAACACTTTGTTGCCATACATAAGTTTTTATAATAAAACAAAATACGGGGTTGATGTAGTGGACCAAATGGCGCGTCTTTATACTACAGAAGTTGCTTCAAGACGATGGCCAATGCACGTGTTTTAAACATTCTTGACTTGGGAGCAATAAATGCATGGATTATTTATAAAGAAGTTACTGGAAGTAAAATCAGTCGTCGTAAGTTTATTCTTCAGCTGTGTGAAGAATTACGGGCTCCATACCTTGCCTCCTGGTACTATACCCAACAACACCGGATTTACCAACCACCAGCACTGTTACTAGCCAAAAAAGAAAAAAATGTCAGTTGAAAATGTTTTGTAAAGGAAGTCATACTTCCAAAGAGTGCCACGGCTGTAGCAAGGCAATGTGTGGCAAATGCCAAAAACTGCAAACTGTATGGTGTTCCAAATGTTTAAAATGAAACTAAAAAAATAAATCAAATTCTATCGTCAAATGTTTATATAATTTCTTAAAACTGTTTATTTTTATTTTTTGTTTATTCCCAAATAAATAGTTAATTCTGACTTGGTTTTTATTGATTTAGGAACTTGGGGCCAAAACGATCCCTTCGAGCTTTCTAGGTAGGTATACTAAGCCCGACTTTCTAGTGTTAAAGGGAAAGTGAATAATACTACCATTTTCTGTATTTTAATCAATGAAAATTCATCATAAACGCAGGAAAAACGAGTACAATAGGTATAATATCCCGTTGCCTGGTTTCAAATCTATAGTCACATGCATACATATACCGTTTTATACATCTCATCTCTAAAGCAAGAAAGAAATCTGCCATGTTTTGTAGAGTGCCTTTTTGCAATCACATTGAAATATATATGAAAAAAGAAAAGACTTGCATTGTAAACAAAAAATCCACGGCTTGATATATTCGCAAAAATCTTCGTTGTCTTTTGTATATGTAGATTAGGGATGAAAGCTATGGAAATTATATGCACCCCACTGAGAAAAATATAATAAAGATTTCTAAAGTGGTTTCATTATTTGTTGACGATCAGTTTTTATACTAAATGGCATTAAAGGAGATTTGTTTCATTTTCAAATTAGGAATAAATATCTTTAATTATAGTGTATTTTTATGTATGAGAGAGTAATAAAACAATAAATTATGTATGCAAATCCCTAAACTGTTGATACGGGTGACTCAATGAAAAACAGATATTTGTCAACAAGTTTACAGAAGTATATAGGAAAACAATTTTAAATTGTGTATGACCACCAGGTATGAAGGTTGGAGCAGAATAGAATACAATAGTTGTGAGGGTTATATATAGTTGTGAGTGCATTCCACGAAGTAAGGGTTTCAACAATCAAACATTTAATTCTTTAATTCCAGGAATCTACGACAGTAATTGACTAGATAATTACCTTCTAAACTTATTCCACAGAAAATGTGATAGTGGGTTTTTCCATTTTGTAGGAAGGTCCAAGTGGCGTATTCAAAATTCTTAACAGTTCACTAAAAGTAGGTACTTCAGTTGCAAGGTGCAGTTTATTGTGTATACTAGTGTTATGGAAAATTTGGAAGTGCCGTGTAAACGCCGAAAAATTGGTCCTTTAACAGTTAATGAAAAAACATTAATATTTACTTGTTTTAAATCATTTACAGACAAACGTTTATGTGAAAGTGTTGATGAGACCGTTGAGTTAGTTAGCAGTACACTTGGTGTTGGGAAATCTACGATTTACAGAGTTATTAAAGAAGAGAAATGTGGTAGTTTTCAAATGCCACGTAATGCTCCAGGGAAACCAAAATTTCAAATAGAATATCATTTTAAAGAAGGACTTCGACGGAAAGTGCATGAATTCTTCTTTAGACAAGAATTTCCAGCATTGGATAAAGTTTTTGTCTCAGTTCGAGATGATAAGGATTACCCAGAAATGAGTCGAAGTACGTTATGGAAACTTTTAAAGAAATAGGCTTCCGCTGGAAAAAGAATCCCAGAAAGTCTATTTTATTAGAAAGAAGCGATATTGTCATATGGAGAAGACATTTTCTAAGAACCATAAAGGAAATGAGAAACCAAAAAAGAAAAATATTTTATCTTGATGAAACATGGATCAACGAGGGTCATACACCAAATAAATTTTGGCAGGATGAAACTGTTACAAGTCAAAGGCACGCTTTTGTAAATAACTTATCTACTGGTTTAAACCCACCATCAGGAAAGGGACGCAGGCTGATAATAGTACACATTGGCAGTTCAGACGGTTTTGTTGAAGGTGGTTTATTAACTTTTGAATCAACTCGTACCGGTGACTACCATAAAGACATAAACGTTGATGTCTTTCAAGAATGGTTAGAACAAATGATAGATCTTCTTCCTAAGAACTGTGTAATAGTAATGGATAATGCAAGTTATCACTCCAGACTTATAGAAGGCCTGCCCACAACCAAGTGGTTAAAAAAAGACTTGCAGAATTGGCTGAGTTCAAAAAATATTACGTACCATCCCGGATCTATAAGAAACGAACTTCATTCGTTGTGTGCCCTTCATAAAGAAAAATTTAAAAAATACGAAATTGATGAAATTGACAAAAATCGTGGAATGACAGTACTTAGATCCCCACCATATCATTGTGAATTAAACCCGATTGAACTGGTATGGGCACAGATAAAGAGTAAAGTTTCAAGAAAAAATACCACTTTTAAAATTCATGATGTTAAACAGTTGTTTTTGGAAGCCGTAAATAATGTAAAACCTG